ACTAGTGAGGACTTATGGACACAGTGGTGTTGTTGTTTAATATTTGATTCAAGTGCACCCCCTACATTATTACAGTTGTTATATATGCTGTTGCAGCTGATGTCAAAGGTTCTGTGAATGCGCACTCCGGAAAATGGGCGCGTGACAGTAGCGTGAGCGTTCTCCATGGCGACCGGGAAGAGTAGCTCGAGTTCCCGCGGTCGCCATGAGGCCGCAGCGGCGCTTAGCTGCGAGGGCCTTCAACGCTGCTTGCAGCTTTAATTGTGTTTAAGTTTCATTTCACTCTAGCTGCACAGCTATATGCACTTTATACTTATCTGACAGCTATTCAATGCATGCAGCTCTGACAACAAGCTTTGCATTGGTTTGATTAATATTTAAATGAATGTAGCATTCCTTGAAGGGATGCATGTTCAAGTTCAAGTTTCTTTATTGTCACTCGCATCACATCTGGTACATGATCTGGAATGAAATTATGTACTCAAGGTCCCAGTTACATCCAAAAATCACAAAAATATAAAGTATAAAAATAAACTGTATATAAGGATTTACGATATACACTAAGATATACTCTAAACACTACTGTTCATAATGTAAAATAATATAGTATATCAAACAGTAGCTTGAACATGAGTTTGTAGTAAGCAGATGGGTATGAATGAATACAGCATGAGATCAGCAGCATAGATAATCAGCAGCACAGATAAGTCACAGATCACCAATTAAAGTAGCATTATCACCCACCACACTGCACGCTGAAGTTTAAAACATTATTCTTGTTTCATTTGTTTGCGCTCAGAGTAGGGATCACTCTCAGCTACTATCACACCAGGTATTATCATAATATCTGTAAAACAACAGAATTGCATCCATTTCTGCATTTACTAAAAGTGATTCGTCTTAACGGCCATCTTGGAGAGTGTTGTTAATCAATTGTAGATTAATATTTAATGGTTATTGTTTGAGAGTTTTGTTAAAATCTATCCAGTGGGTCATGAAATATTTTGCTAACAGACAAACATGGTTGACTCCAATAATTAATGTTAATGTTTTAGGCAAAGGTTTTTTACAATGTGAAAGGATTGTCAGCTACTCCCACATCAAAGTCTAGCTCATTTTCTATACAATTAACTGGGCTAATGTTTTTTTGTGTGTTTTTTAAGTTCAGCTGATCTTGGCAGACATCTTTAATTGGGATGACTCCCAAATTAATCAATTGTAAAGGCACTTCTAGTGATTATTTTCTAAAAAGTTCTTTATAATCCATCCTATGAGACAGACAAACACAAAAACACCTCTTGCCTTCGCCTTTCAACAATTACTTTTAACAAAGATTAGTATATTTATGCCACAGCCTTCATAGACAATGGGGTTTACAATAAATGCTCATATTTCTTCTAGCAAGTTTTCCCTTTTGTTGCTCCTTCATGTGCATTTTAGCAAACTAGACATGAGTTGGATATCCAGGTAAATGATGGATGGATGTAGAGCAGGTGTGATGCAGAGACAGAAAATAAACAAGTAACAACTGGTGAAAATGAAGTGATCAGGACTAACTGTAAGTGATTTCTGACCCCGCAGTGCTACAAACTCAGGACGGCTGCCAGCCTGGTCCAGCAGCAGGGAGGCAGAGCATCCAGTGCTTCAGGTGTGGGGGGGCATGCAAAGGGGAGGTGCTGCGGGTGCAGAGCAGCTACTTCCATGTAAAGTGTTTCACTTGCAAAGGTGAGTTGAACCACAGTGTGAAACAAAGCAAAATCATTTCACAACATTTTTTAATGTTACAAACAGATCAAATGGTCAAAAGTCTTCAGTTGATCCAAAATGCTGCTGCCAGAGTCTTATCTGGAGTTAGTGGGAGAGATCATATCTCTCCAGTTTTATCTCCTCTCCAATGACTCCCTGTCAAATCCAGAATATAATTCAAAATCTTACTTCTAACATACAAAGCTCTCAACAACCTAGCTCCATCCTATATTAGAGATATTATTGTTCCATATTTTCCTAACAGAGCACTTTGCTTTCAGACTGAAGGCTTACTTGTGGTTCCTAGTTTCTAAAACTAGAATGGGGGCAGATCTTTCAGTTCTCAGGCTCCTCTCTTGTGGAACCGACTTCCAGTTTCTGTCTGTGAGGCTGACACATTGTCCAGTTTTAAGACTGGGCTTAAGACTTTTCTTTTTGATAAATCCTATAGTTAGGGTTGGCTTATGCTGCTATAGACTACTGGAGGACAAATTGTTCTCATTTCTTAAAATTAATTGTTAAAATTAAATAGTTTTCATTTGATACTATTTCTATCTTTACATGTGATTCTTGACCTGCCATTGTGTATCTGTTCCTCTCAAATCCAACTGGTCGAAGCAGATAGACGCTTGTCCTGAGCCTGGTTCTGCTAAAGGTTTCTCCCTCATGAGGGAGTTTTTCTTTTCCACTGTCGCCTTCATGCTTGCTCAGGATAAGAGTCTGCGAAGAAGTTAAATTCAAAGCAGTCTGCTCCTCAGATAAATAATGTTATTAACTTTTTACATATGTGAATGTTTCTGTTCAGTGCCCTTAGATGACATCTGTTGTGACTTGGCGCTGTATAAATAAACTGAATTGAATTAAAATGGTCATACAAGCAGAAAGGAAACAAAGCCGATGAACTTTTGATGTTGTGCATTCTTTTCAAAGTTGATTCACATACATTGGCTTCTATCACAATGAACCCAAAAATTTTAATAAGGGCTTAAAAAACATTTGCTCAAACTCTTGTCGTTAAATTAACCAAACTGGGGATGAAAACAAAGCATTAAAACAAAAATCACATGAACAATTATGCTATTTTAAAATTTGTTTGAAACATATGGTGATGGTCATCTGATGCCCCCAAATCTGATTTATTGGAAACATCTTCCATCGACAGTGGGTTGTTGTGAAGCCTGGTCAGACGCCCGCTTATTGCAGTTACTCTGCTTCATAGTGGACATATTTTCCCAGCAGGCCATTGTCCAACTAATCAGCCCTGACAAGCTTCTCGTGTTGTTGCCTTCTCACAACAATGTGGCGCTGATTTCAGCAGAGCAAAAACAAGGACACTTTCAGGAGGAGAGACGAAACTACTTTCAGAGGAATGACTTGGATTTGGATAATTGTGATTTTAATATTACTATTTGAATTAAAAACAAAAGGTTTTTATGAGACAGTCCATGTCTTTGAAAATTGCTTATACAGTATATCAGTTGATCCAATCCTGCCTTCATGACTATATAGACAGGATAAAACAAAACAAATAAATCGAGCGGTGAGTGAGTCACAGAGGGACAAGAATAGAGCGGTGTAAATCTGGTTTTGGCCTAGCTCTGAAGGACAGAGGGGGTTTCAAATGTCACAAAACGAGCCAAGAGAAAACACATCCTGTCTGTAATGTGTCGCGCAGCTCATCAGTGTTTAGTCTTCACAAACAAAAGGTTCAGACACTGACTTACTGTCTTAATATTAGAAGTTAGAATATGGTTTAAAGAAGACATCTGGTTACATAAGGTGGAGGAAATTTAATTTAGCTTTTCTGACAAGAAGATAATCAATCAATCAATCAATCAATCAATCAACCTTTATTTATACAGGTAAGTCCCATTGAGCCTCGAGGACTCATTTACAAGAGAGACCTGATTTCAACAAAGAAAGATGACAACAATGGACAACAGCAACAACAATAAACAGTTATAAAAAAGCATACTACAGTTTTTTTTTTTTTTTTTTTTTTTTTAACAAATAGGATGGCTAAAAGGAAAAGGTCACAAAACAAAAAACAGCTAGATTCCAAGACAAATGTAGAAAACTAACAACAGGAACATGTCTGCATTGGACCCTGCCAGGTGTCCAACAGATTCTTAAAGACACTTAGAGAGGTCAAGGTCGAGAGCTTCAAATCTTTTTGTAAGATATTCCAGGAAACAGGAGAGGAATAGGAGAAGGCCCTTTTGCCTAGTTCAGTCCGCACTGAGGGAACACTGCAGGTAATAATGTCCTGAGAGCTCACTCCGTAGCTGCACTGCATAATGCTTTAACTATACAGGAGAAAGTTACAACCTCACCTCTTTCTGCAAAAAAAAATTGTATCGTGAAAAAAGAAGGATGCAGCAAAACGCTCATCTGATTTGTTTTTGTGTCTTAAATTGATACAAAGCACGGCGCTAGCGCAGAAACGCTACAGACAGTGCAATCTGTTAGCTTGAGCAGCACAAATTAGGTTAGTATGACAACAAATTTCTGAAAAGCCTAAATTTAAAGGTGGCACATGTGTTCAGAATTTTAATCTTTGTTTCTTTAAAATTTAAGCGTCACAATTTGAACATGTAAGAAGCAAAGTAGGCTATGAGCTAAATGCTAACAGCAGCTAGTATAGCTGAATTCTTGCTCTTGCAGCTGGAAGCTTTTTAATCAAGGCGGACTGAGATAAAATATTTAACGTTCAGCCATGGAGTCAGTCAGTGAAGACTTGAATGTGATTTTAGGTTTATTACTGTTGAGGTTTAATTTTTTTTATTTTTCAACTTTTATGCATAAATTATTATTATGAGGGAGTGGTGGTGCAGAGGTTAGAGAAAGTGGGCCTGTGATGGGAAAGTTGCCGGATCAACTCCCCGAACTGACAACATCGAAATGTGGTGAGAAAGGTGAAACACTGACACCTGCCTCCACCCAGATTTGCCCCACTCTGGGCCCTTGAGCAAGGCTCTTAACTCCACCATCTGCACCCTAGATAGCAGCTCTCTGCTCCACACAGAGGGCTGTGGTAGCTCATGGTCTGTGGTTGTGTCAGGAAGGGCATCCAGCGTAAAAACAATCGCCAACTCTTCATGCGATTTAGTTCGCTGTGGCAACCTGAGAAGCAGGAAAAAAATAAAATATGCATAAATTATTAAATTTCCAGTCAGAATTAGCTTTTATATATTAAAAAAAATCACTTTCTGCTTGTAAAATAATCCATATTATACACCTCTATGACCCCGTGTGCCTAACAGCTGGGGAGGCTTTCTCATCAAGAAACTTTAAGCTTTTATCCCCTAAACATCCTTTCACTCATTGTATGTTCATTTAATCTAAAGTGCTCTACAACTTTTGAGCCATAAAACCATATTTAGACGTAGAAACGTCTTGATGCTGAGCGTTCTCTTCCTTCGGTGCTCTGTTGTTATCAGACGGTTGCTCTGTGTACATGTGTACAGTGTGCGGCTGTGACTTGGCTCACAGTGGTTTCTTCACGAGGAGCGGGGACTGCCTGTGCCCGGTGGACTTCCAGCGTCTTCACGGCACGCCTTGCAACAACTGCGGCGACTTTGTCGAGGGGGAGGTGGTCACAGTCCTGGGAAAGTCCTACCACCCAGCTTGCTTTGTGTGCACCGTTTGCAAGTAATCCCGATTAATCTGGTTATTGCAGCGAAGAAAAGTTTAGCGTTTGTCTGTCTTAGATGTCTTTGTATCTCTGCTTCTCAGGCGGCCTTTCCCTGCGGGGGATTGTGTGACTTTCAGGGGGAAAGACTGCCTCTGCCAGCGTTGTAATGAACCCACATCGCCCTCAAATCAAATCACTCATCCCAGCAGTGAGTCACTCTCTGTGGACGAACATTTGATCCAATATTCTTATGAAAATATAAATAGATAAAAGGTTGTGATCTTCTAAGGACAGTGGATTGAGTTGGACACTGGCCAACAACTGTAGTTTAAAGTCAGTCAACTGCATGTTCTTTTTTTGTTTATTAATTTTTATCTTGTGCTCTGGAGCCAGGTCAGTGCCATGTACAACTTTGTTTACAAAGTATGACTTTTTTAAACTAATCTATAAGAACTTTGGACGTCAGGTAGCCAAAACTGTAAACACATAAACAATGTTTGTATTCTGTTTCTGAAGCAACAGACTCTTTTAAACCAGTGATAAATTCAGCCTCAGCCTCTGCTTTAACCCAGTCCACCTAAAGATTAGAGAAACAACATATCAAAAGAGGACTGAGACTCAGTAAGCCTCTGATTAGAAGGATCTGCCTGCAGGATTGTACAGAAAAGCTGCTAATTAAGAAAATCTACAGGGACCAGCACTGTGACTATAATTCTGTGGTGTCAGACATAACATGTTCAGTTTGCACATGCAGATGATCATATCTGTGCGGTTTTCAGATTGTGCCGGCTGTGGTCGAGACATAAAGAACGGTCAGGCTCTGCTAGCTCTGGGGGGTCAGTGGCACATCGGCTGCTTCAAATGCAAAACCTGCAGGAGGGTCCTGAGCGGAGAATACATCAGCAAGTAAAATTTCTCCGCCACGCTTTCACTTCTTCAAGCTCAAGTTTACCTCCATTGTTTTGTTGTGATCGGTGACATAAGACTTCTAAACAGGAAGTGTGATGTCATGTAGCCTCTAACTTGTTCATCTTCCAGAGATGGTTTTCCCTACTGTGAGAGAGACTTCCAGACTCAGTTTGGGGTGAAATGTGAAGCATGTCAAAAGTTCATCACAGGAAAAGTTCTTGAGGTAAAACCCACTCTTTGTTCAATTCCAATTTAATGTCCTTTGTCATCTTGTTCTGAAAGCTGCCATCTCAAGATGTAAAGAGCTGGACACATTTTAGAAGAGCTGGGTTGGAATTATGTGAGCTTGTGTTGCCGCAATTAAAAAAACAACACATTTTCGGAGTGAACTTCACCATTCAGCATAAATAGATGAAAAGATAGCTTCGAAAAATGGAAAATGATACAAACTACAACAAAGTTAAATCAGTTCATCTGGATGGTTTCTTTTTTTTGTTGTTGTTGTTGTTGAAACGTTTCGTACTTCATCCAAAGGACTCTGTCAGTCTGAGGAGCCACAACAAACCCAGTCCCACAAGCAGCACACTCACATAGTGGGCCAACCAGTTTACTGGTAATCAGATGGTCTCTGGAGCCCTCCCGGCGCCCTCTTCCCCGTCGACTCCTCTGAGGCAGCCATAGCCAAAGTGGTTCAAAACATTGTCCATGTTAGGTACCACCTTCAGCTACTCCACACAAAACTTTAGCTCAATATCTGTAAATCTGACAGAGCTAGAGCTAAATTTTTGTTGGATGAGTAGCTGTTAAAGCTGTCTGGAATGTGTGTGCCGGGCTTGGCAACACTCAGACTCTGTACAAACTATCTGTGGACCTGTATCAGAGCTGAGCAGGCAGGACTGTGGAACTTCTGTCAGTGTTCACGGACAGTTGGAAGGAATAGATCTTGGAGAAGTTGTAAACCCAACTTTGGCATAAGTAATCACAATTCGGCTCTTTGGAGTCGTCGTGAGATATATTAGTGAGACTGTAAAGGCTGACGAGGAAATTAAAGAGCTTGGCCTGACCCAAAACAATGTTGAAATATGAATCTGGCTCTGGCCTTGGAAGGTTGACTATCTCAATTTCTCTTTGGATGTTATGGAAACAAGACGCTCTGCTCCCCTCCCCAAGGACGTGGCACAGTGTCAGAGCTCAACTGAGCTGGCTGATAAACAATCACCTCTTATCAGGACTATGGCTGGGGGTCTCTGGATTATGCTGTGCTACGATTTCCTCTCAAACTCATGCCTTCACCAGCCTCCCTCATTGTCTTCCCTGGTGCAGCAACCTAGGTGATGTGAAGGTGCCAAAGGGCTGTGTCACTCACCTGGCGGCCATGCTGGGACCCCCTCCCCCTACCCATTCTACACGCATATGTATTATGTGTATTTATTGTTGCTTTTTCTGTACTGAAGTAGTTTTTTGTTCGTGTGAGAGACTTTTTTATACCTTCTTCCTTTCCTGATGTTTTTCACTTTCACTAATGAAAAGGTGGCACTGCTCTCTGCGGCTGAAGCCTCCGACATTTGTCTCCCCTATGTCTGTCGTTTTCTTTTCTTGATGGATGTACTGAAATGAAATTTCCTTTTGGGACCAATAAAGTATATTGATTGATTAATTGATAGCTGTGGTGGCCATATTGAATCAGGTTGACTTCAAACGTTAATCAGCTGTAGCTGTACATGTAGTAATTATTTTCTGAAAGGTTTTTTTTAAAAGTTAGCAAAAAGTTCTCACTTGCTCATATAGTATCAATCTCAGGGAGCAGGAGCCTAAACTTTTACTCCACACTGTTTTAATCAACTCCAAACTTTGAGAAACACTGAAGTACAAGGAAAGTATTAATTTTTTAGAAACTCGACATCAGGTATGTGCTTTGACGACCCATTAGTCAAATGAGCTTTTGTATGTTTTATGCGTTTATGTCAGTTTGAATATTTGTTTTAATTTGAATATGTATCAATAATTTGTGGTTTTATTAGTAGAATTAAAATAGAAATTTATCTTCTGCAACCTTTTTCAGGCCGGACACAGACATTACCACCCTAGTTGTGCAAGATGCAACCGATGTGACAAAGTGTTCACCGAAGGAGAAGAAATGTATCTGCAGGGTCAGTTTGATGTTATTCATCTGGTTCTGTATCACTTGTGTAAAGATACTGGACAATTTTATATTACGCAAGACAAATTTTATTTTAAATTTTTTTATAAAAGCAAAAATAATTTCTTATCCATGTTTTCTCAGGAATGACAATTTGGCATCCAAACTGCAGAGACAGCATCAGAGCTGAGGACAGTTACAGGGTAGGACATCCATGACTCTATTTTCATCACTTATTCGCAATGTGAAGCATCAAAAGCAACATGAAGTTTTTAGTTTTAAAGCCAATTTGTTTAAAGAATAGAAGAACATCTTTACATGTTGTCTCCCGTCTCAGGTCAGCAGGTCAAAGACGCCCTGTCTTGATTTCTATTTCCCCCCACATGAACTGAAGGTTAATATTGTGTGCAGGCCTGCTTTTTGCACAAACAAATTAAAGACAGATCTTTTAAAGTGTAATTCTGTGAAAAGAATGCAAACAGTTAATATCTTACCTGTTGCAGATAGCTCTTTAAATGATGGAGAAACATAGATTAATTACTAAATTGGTGAGATAATGGCTAGGCAAGTAGACCCAAAACAAAAGTGGATTTCTGCTAACTTAAATCTAGAATTTAAACATGTTTAAAGCAGTTCATGCAAATATATTCATTATAAACCCATCAGTGTTGGGTCGTCAGGGCCTGCAAGGCCTTCTCTGATGGCCTAAACACAATAAGAATCACTAGATTACATTTTAATATATTATTTTCTATTAACTAATATATGTTAGGTTATTCCAAATAGTCTGTTCTCTTCATTTCATAGTTTGTCTCCTGTTAGTGCAGCTTCCATATATTTATATAGAGTTTTTATCCAATCAGATGATGACCATCATCTGTTGCTAGGGTCAAAAAATCTGCCTCGAGGCCTTCAGGACCAACAGTGCAGGCACATGCAGATTAAATCAAATGTCAGTGAAACTGTTGCTTTGACCAGTTAGGTTTTGAGTTGTTCAGTCTGGGGGCTTCTACCAGACATTCAACAAAGTCAGCATTTTCACGTTGTGTGATTGGATGGTCAGAGATTGTACTAGTCTGGGCTAGGAATCTGCATCTGTAGCGACATGCACAAGCTAAACTTCATTTATTTAGCTTTAATAGCTGTTATTTCAAGCCACAAGGGCTGCCTGCTTCTCTCGAGCAGACATTCTCAGCCCTAAAGGAAATGAACATTTATGTGAAAAGCATGGCAGGGCAGACTGGACTTTAAGCATTAGCCTCCATGGATATAGAAAAGGACTTATTGTTGAAATTTAAATGCACGGATAACCTGTACGACCAAGTTATTGAACGCTTCTAGAGGAAAGAAAGGAGGATGGATTTTACTACGAACAGTCAAGACTTTTGGCGAGTAAAATACATTTGATTTATTGGTTTATTACGTTAATATTGACGCTTTTGCTAAATACGTGTGTGGTGCAGCTGTATGTGGCTGCAGCAATAGAAAACTTGTTTACTTGTGTTAATTGAGTTTCTTGCTTCAGTAATGAAATTCATTCTCGCGACATAAGATACCTGACTGTGATGCAGCACCAAATTATTCTGTTTCTGTTAGCTTCTGTAGCCGTGGTGTCATAATGACAATACAAGAGGTGGGTAAATTCAGGCAGGACACCATTGAAGGCCCAGGTGTAAAATGCACGGCCCGTCAGTGAAACACACCTATATGGGTGTATGCGTGAAGGGTTCAATCAAATATATGCACAGAAATGCACTGGCAGTGCATGTCTTTTCTGAATATGGACATTAAAACTGTTCACAGACATTATTAAAACAATTGCAGTCATACTTAATAAGCTGGCCTTTCTTTTAAGTGTTTAGTAGTTGTAATATTTTGCACACAGAAATAAAACTGCTGATTTATTAACCAGATTTATAGAACTTGTAGAAAGTTCCTGGAGAAACTTTGATGGGGACTGCAGGCTCCTGCCAATTTAAATTGTTGATTTGACAGTAATATTTGGTTCGCGCTCAACTACCACTATACCAAATTTCAACTGAATCATTCTTAAAATGGCCGAGTTATGTTTTTTTTCTTTCTCTTTTTTGATTTGGATTCAGTACGTGATAGGGAATGTTCTCAGCTACAACCTCACCAAATTACATCTGTATGTGTAAAAATGGCTGAGTTAAAGCCATTTAAAAGTAGCATTGGCAACCATCTTGGATTTTTGACTTTGATACAGCATTTGATAGGAAACATTCTCAACTACCACCACACCAAGTTTCAGCTCAATATCACTAAAACTGACTGATTTATAGCATTTTTTTCCTTTTTTGATTAGGTGTCCATCTTGGATTTTTGCTTTTCAGTCAGAGTCTATCTGCACCTCTACGTCAGTGAGTGCAGAGCTTTTTTAAACAAACTGAATAAGATCCCTGACACCCATGGCTACTCTTTGGTTATGTGGAATGAAAATTTGCTGCACAAAATTAAAAAACTGCAGCGACTAGGCTGTTAGCATCTGCAACTCACACAAGACAATTAAGAAACCCGTGAATGTTTTCAGACATTTTGGAGACAGTTGTAGTCGCCAATAGTCCTGGCTGAGTGTGACACTGACCTTGCTCAAACTAGTTGTTAGCTCATCAATTCGATCAGAATTAACTTTATTTCTTTAAAAATTAGGTCATCCATATCTTCAACAGGTAATATATTGTTTGTTCATAACTTTTCCACTAAACCCCACTTAAAAAAAGATCTGAACTATCATTTTTACATCTAGCACACATAAATTAAACTTAATCATGCTTGATTTAATCACATAACAAAATGACATTTGGCTGACAGCATGTTCAACTCGATGCTGTTCTGATAAAAAAGTTGAACTTCGATGATGCTTGAATGTGTAGGATTCCTTACTTAAAGACTTTTTTCTATAAAATAATGCATGCTTGGGCTTCAACTTCAACTTGGGCTTTCTGTGAGCACATCCATACAGCAGCAGAGTGCCTTTCAGTGTCAGGGTGGTTTATATGCACCAGCATGTCAAAAAATATATCAAACCGTAAAACTACATTCCTAATTTATTGCAAGTTAATATGCACTTTTGCACTTGTTAAGATAGACTTAGATGAGAGACAGGAAAGGACCTTAAAATGAAATGTTTCTACAAACTTTATTTTTTTCAGCCCAACAGATCGTCATCTGAAAGCTCCTGTTCCAGGCCGAGCTCGTGCACTCCGGGCAGTCCAGGTCGAACCCTCTGTGTAAGTTTTAACGCCTCGTGCATCTTCTCTGATGCAGACTGCACATTTTGTGTTTCAATCCATTATTTTTATTCGTGCAGGACAATCACATGGATGAGTCACTTGTGCAGGATCTTTCTTTTTGACACTACACGAGGACAAACAGAAAAAAACACAACTGAATGTTTGTTTACATTATTCCATAAATTAAAAAGGTATAATAACCTTGACTGATTGGAACTAGTTACATGTTGCTTGTTGGAGAAAATGTACCGTATTTTTCGGATTATAAGGCGCATTGAGCAAAACAAAACAGTCAGATAAGTCAAACTTTATTCAACTCATTCACAATAACTCAACATTGTTCACTTGTAACACATAAAGTATCAGTTCGAGGTCAGTAAGCACAACCAGAATTAATATGTATATCGCACTGGATTATAAGACTCAGTGTAGATTTTTGAGAAAATTTAAGTATTTTAAGAGCGCCTTATAGTCCAAAAAATATGGTAATTTCATTTGGGGATATTTACATTTTCTCAGCTCATCTACTGATATACAAAGAAATGAACAACATATTGATGACTGTGTCCAAACACTTTATTAGGAGCTCAGACTGAGTTCAGAGTGCCTTAGTTTCCTTTCCTCCGGCCTCTTATGTTGAAACTGAATCCATTTTACTTTCTAAACATCTCAAGATTTAAGCCAAAAAAGGATTTTTCTAACGCAAGAGCCTGAAAAATAGAACATTATGAATCTGGTTACTTCCTGTGCCAAAGTCAAATAATCAAGATGTTTTGAAGGTTAAAGTTTTACGTGTAGTACTCCCTCTGAGATGTACTGTATACCTTTATTCTTTGACCAGAACCTGAGCCCAACCGTCTGCTCCTTTTGTCTCCTGCCCCTCTGTTGGTCGTCTCCTCCCCCCATCCCGTCCTCCCCAGGCAAAAGTAGACAACGAGATCATTGATTATCGAGACTTAGCAGCAATTCCCAGAGTCAAGGCTATATTTGATATAGAGCATCCCGACATGATGTCTTATAAGTGTGTGAACAACAACTCGTCTGCTTTGGATGGAAAAGGCAACAGACAGAACAGGCTGAGCCCCACAGAGGTAACTGACAGACTGGTTTTCTGTTGTTGGTGTTTCCTCTTGGTTTGATAGAGTCCAACTAAGTAAAACATTGTTTTGTCTTCTAACTGAATATGTTGGAAGCAAAAGATTCCTGTAGAGTGGGTTGTGAAAGTATTTAGCTCCTTGGTGTTATTTGGGACTGCAGTGCCTACTAAGGCAGCACCTATTATTATCCACCTGACAAAGGTTTCTTAACTTTACATCTTACTCTTCTGTCAACTTTAATGCGGCCTGAACCACAATGTGTAATAACCCCATAATTGTTATATCAAAACGACCAGCTTGGCACCGTGATGTGTGCTATTACTTTTATTGCCGTTTCGAGTTACCATGGCGACGTAATTTGCTAACAAAGACGCCTTTTTTATTAGTCGTTTTTCACAGACTCTGGTTGCAAATCAAATATCCAATGCCGCCTGAGCTAAAAAGGAAAAATACTGTGAACCAGCCATTTTTAGAGACATTAAGCTAAAATTTGGTGTGGTGGTAGCTGAGAGCAATGCCCAATAAATAATGGATTAAAAAATTCAAAATGGCCACCAAAGCTAATTTTAAATGGCTTTAACTCAGCTATTTTTACACATGTAGAGCTGACATTTGGTGTGGTTATAACTGAGAACGTTCTCCATCACATACTACATCATACATACATACATCACATACTATCACATGCATCACACACCTGCATCATGAAGGACCCCACTCACCCAACACACACATTTTTTGCCCCGCTCCTCTCAGGAAGGAGGTTAAGGAGCATTAAGTGTAGAACCACTAGACTGAGGAACAGCTTCTACCCTGAGGCTGTTAGTCTCATGACTATCTAACTAGGATAATCACTGTTAAAAGATCACATCATGTTGCTGCTGATCTGTTTCATGTTACTGCTGATCTGTTTCATGTTGCTGCTGATCTGTTTCATGTTGATGTGTTCATTCGTGCTCATCTGCTCACACAGACTCATGTTCATGCTGCTATTCGGCATATTGGTTTTTTTTTTGTGTGTTTGTTTTTCATGCTATTATTGCTTAGCATATTTTTAGTTTATGTTTTTTTTTAGTTCATATCTTAGATTTTATTACTGTTTTTCTTTTACATTTTATTGTTGGATGTAACTGGGACCCTGTGGACATAATCTCGTTCCACCACATGTACCACATGTGGTGCGAATGATAATAAAGAAACGCTGACTCTGACCGACTCTGACTGACTCTGACTAAATCCAAATCCTTAGCTTAAAAGAAAAAAAAAGTATAACTTGTTGCCTTTTTTGCCATTTTGAGCTGACATTTGGTGTGATAGTAGCTGAGAGAAACCCCAACACATAGTACAGTCAAATTTTTAAAATGTCCGTAATGTGGCTCATCAAAGTTTCTCCAAGAACTTTCTAGTTTCACTTTTGTTGCCTGACAACCTGGAACCAAACTAGATATTTAATTTGATTCTAAGTAACAATGTTGCTAAATATAGTTGACATAATGAAGATAAATGTTTGATTTAAATCTACCTTTGAGCAGTTTTAGTGTGAAATTATCTGCACCTGTCCACTGATACACTGTTGCTGTAACGGCCTCCAAAATCAACACCAGTTCGACACGTGGCTTGTAATAAGAGCTACCACCAAGTAGGAGACAGCATGAAGCCCAAGGAACTCTCCACACATGTTAGAGGCAAAGTTGTGAAATATTACAGATTAAAGTTCGGTTATATATAAAAAAAAAAAATAATCACACACCCACAAAATCCCTAGGAGCACCAATAAATCTATGGCTAAATAAACAAAATATAATCCCACTTTGTTAAAGCTGCCAAGAGAGGGCCGTCTACCAAAAGTCATGAACCAGGTGAGAAGGACGTCAAGCAGAGACACAAACAAGAGACTAAAGAAAACCCTGATGAAGCTGGGCAGCCCTTATGGGAGGATCTGTTTACAGAGCTGGGTTTCTTGGAAGAGTGGCCAGGAAAAGGTAAAACATAAATAATAATAAAAAAAAGGCTGACTGGAATTTCTCCCCCGAATGTGGATGACATCATGTCTGAAGCAAATCTACCACTTCTCATCATTCTGAGAACCCCATCCCTTCACCTGGTCGAGTCCTCCAGAGATCCGAGCCAGAGGTTCACCTCTCAGCAGGACAACACCTCTGTGCTTTAAGGACAAACAGATTAATGTCCTGGAATGGTCCGTCAAAGCCCAGAGCTCAATCCAACTGAGAATCTCTGGTTGGACTGAAAGATATTTTTAGACAAGCGGCGCCCATTCGACCTGAAATAGAAGGAGTCGTTTGCTGATGAAGAACGGACAAATCGAGCTCGTGGAGATTAACCTGAAGAACCTCGACGCTGTAACTCCCAAAATAAATGGCTCCACAAAGTATCGACTTGGAGCTGTGTGAGAATACGGTACACTGAAACTTCCCCTTTGGATCAATAAAGTATATTGACTGATGACTGATTGATATGCATGCACCACTTTATAATTTTAATCTTATATAAACAACTTATCCTCCCCATTTAACGTAAAAAAAAAAGTGTTTGCATCTGAAATCTGGGGGTTGAATACTTTTGCAACTCACTACATGAGGGGAAAGAACAACCTGTGATGTGTATTATTTGCACCCATGCATGATCAGTACCTCTCCTGTGGGAACGTTCTGCAACATCCTTCTGCTCATGATGTGATGTGTGATATTAACGGTCCCATGTAATCATCAGTGAGGAACAGAAAGAACTGGTGATAGAGATATGATATGGTGACGTGTCTCAGGCAGAGTCCTTGACTCAGATCCACTCCTTCGTTCCTGCAGCGGACCAGTGGATGACAGCATGTTGTGGAGTGTTTGAGGTTTGAGGTCAGTTTGAGTTATTGTATTCTTGTTTTCTTTGTGTGTCTCTGCTTTAGCCAGCAGGAAACCTATCTGAAACCATCCAGGTAAATTACAAACCAGCTGCTGCTCAGAACATCCACATTTAAATCAGCTGGTTGTTTTTCCTTTCACCTTGCGTTTCTGTTTTCCTTCCTCCAAGGAGAGTTTCGAAACGGGAACGTGGATGCCAAAATCGACTACAAGTCATGGATTTTTTGGGGGTCAAACCCCGAGTTATCGTCACAACTACGCTCCCACTCTGTCCAGATCACCACAACACTTCCACCGACCAGGTGAACAAAGAAAACCATTGCCTAAAAGCACACCTTTGTATTAAATGTGTCCTCTACCACATTCCCTCCTGCTCCTTGTTTAACACTGTGTCCTTCACCTTTGTGAAACGTAAAGGGTTGCTGCTTTCTCCCACTTTGCTCCTTGAAAACAAAAATTACTCCTGCCCCACGCCTCCTTTCTGTCACCACTTTCTCTCTAAAAGCAAAGGTAAGACCCCCCCTGCTCCTCTGACACCCTGTTTCCCCTCCTTTCTGTCTGTGTTAAGTTTGCATCACCCAAACAACCAACAACTGACCAGTTCAATATAAATCAGAGAAGTGTGGCACACATCTTATTTTTCTGTTTTTAAATTGAGCCATCTAGTGGTCGTGCTCAGAAGGCCTCAGTTTTGCATGCGTGCTGCTTGGATTATGTTTCATTTATAATTGATTGACTACATTAATAAATCTTACTTCATCCAGTTTTATCTCACACATGTCTCTAATTATTCATACCGTTTTTGAGCTTTTACGTTGGCTCAATTAAATAATGACAAGTTTGATTACTGTTCTTTTATAGAAACAGAACAAACGGCTTGTTAAAGGTGAACTGAGAAAAATATTATTTTATTCATCCAATACATTATTGTTAATAAGAACATGAAAAAAAACAAGAATAAGATAAAAGAATAAGAAAAATAATAATCTTACTGTTGGATTAACATTATTATTTTTACTTCAATGTCACAGGTGTGTTTAAATTCTTAAAAATTAAACAAGTAAAAAGTCAAAAATACATAAAAAGTGTTATTTGCTATGATATTTTATAAGTTCAATTTGTCTTAAGACGGCACTTAAGATGCACTTTGGTCTTGGCTTTGTTGCTCTGGCTATGTGTGGTTAAAAATATTTCCACAAAACTTAAAAAGTGCTCCGAAAATGTTAATAGTAGGTCCAACAATGTTCATTCAGGTCATCTGGATGGTTTCTTTTTTTGCTGAGATGTTTCGTCCTTCATCCAAAGGACTTCCTCAATCCGAGAAGCCACCAAACAAAACTGATTCCCACAAACAGCATAGTGGGAAAAACAAAACAGTTTGCTGGTGCTAAGATGGCTGCTGGGGCCCGCTCTCTCCCTCGTCAACTCCTCTGAGACAGTCATGCCAAAGTGGTTCAAAACACCAAAGTTCATGCTCAGAGGAACTTTGGTGGCCAGAAGCCATCTTAGCACCAGCAAACTGTTTTTTTTTGTGTGTGTGTGTTCCCACTACAGAGGATACTGTTTGTGAGAATCAGTTTTTTTGTTTGTTTGTTTGTTTGTTTGGTGGCTTCTCAGATTGAGGAAGTCCTTTGGATGAAGGACGAAACATCTCAGCCAAAAAAGAACTCGTCCATATGGCCTCACTGAACATTGTTGGATTTTAAGGATTAATGAGCATGAACTTTGGTGTTAATAGTAATTATTTTTCTGCAAATGTGTTTTAATAAATTCCTACTAACAACTTTTTTTTTCTATTTGAATTCTGTTTGAAATAAAGAGGAATGTCTGTGAACGATGTGAATAACATGGCGATACCTGGTCTCGGTTTGTTTTCTCTTATACGCACATCCAGACAAATTATCTGCTGACTCTGCATTTATCCTTTCAGCAGATGAAGGCTTTGATTTATACCGAAGGCCTCCGATTTATAAAAAGCAAGGTAAGCGTTTTGTTAACATTTTAAACTTCACACACTACACTGAAAATTACAGAACACATTTTATTTTGTTGCACATTTTTGTCTGAGCACATGTGATTGGTTGTTTTGATGTTGTCCTCATTCTTTCTTTTGATAATGTCAAGTAACTTGGACTGAAGTTTAGGGAAATGGTTGTCAATTTTCATCAATTTCAATATAAATCTCAGCAGTTTAAACTTTAACTCAAAATAAATGTTTCTTTTTGAACAAATTAGTACCTGGACGTCCGTTTCACAGCACACAAACCACTAACGATGTATTTTCCTCAGGAAGTTTGATTGAATTTGAGCAGTCTGGTTGTAAGTCGTGTCATGAAGAGCTCATCATGTCTGCTGTGTCACTTTCTCGCAGATTCAAGTTCCTCCACATCTCAAGCAACCTCTTTGCCAGAGTATAGACACAGCTTCTTAAACTTGGTAAAAACAAGTACCCATTTTTTCAAATGTCTATTCATTTGATTAAGCATCAATAAATAAACTGTTGGCAAATACATATGAAGAATATTTTATGTTAAACAACAGAAGGAAACCAACAAAAAACATTTGTATTTGTCATTTTCTCACCCTTTTCGTCCTCTTTAAGCCTCAGTCGGTTGATTTCTGCAACACCACCAGTGAAAGATTCAGTGAGTCTGCAGACATTTTTATCTTTTGCTTTAACATTTAAAGATGGTGCACAGTTTTTAAACGAATGATGTTTTGATGTCATTTCTTTCTTCCTGCTTTTCAGACTTCAAGGTACGTGAAATGAAATGCATGCTGTCATGAGCTTCTTTCGTCAGATCCTTTACTAAGTCACTGTGTGCATCTGCACGTTTGTCAACCCAGCCTCATTTTACTTCAATATATCACGTGTCATAAATACACAAATTATACATTGATTACTGTCTTATTAAGCTCTTTACAAAAACAACACGCACAAAATATATTCAGTGCCGTAAAATGAATCAGACGCCAGGTGCTGCAGAAATAACATCGCTGTTATAATAATATCAGCAGACGAAACCTTTTCTTGAATCATGCATGTTCTAAGCAAACTTTAATTACTCTAACCTGCCTGCTTCCTTTGCAGTGATTAATCTTGATCGTGTTTGCTTTTTGCATGTTTGCTTCGTTGCGTAGCTCACCCATGAAGATCAGCTTCCACTAACACGAATGGACAGAGGGGTTTCTATGCCTAATTTGGTGGAGACAAAAGCAAGTATCATTTAAGACTTTTTATCGACATTGTATATGGCGTTTATCGGGTTCTGGATGAACACATTCTCAACGATGACTTACAATGGTCAATTCAATTTAGTTCAGTTTATTTCTATAGCGCCAAGTCACAACAGAAGTCATCTCAGGGCACTGAACAGAAACATTCATATATATAAAAATAATAATTTTAACTATTTGTCTGAGGAACAGATTGCTTTGAATGTAACTCCATCATAGACTCATCTTGAGCAAGCATGAAGGCGACAGTGGAAAGGAAAATCTCCCTCGTCAGTAAGAAACCTTTAGTAGAAACAGACAAGCGGCCATCCGCTTCAACCGGCTGCGTTTGGTAGGAACAGATACACAATGGCAGATCAATAAATATTAAGATAGAAATAGTATCAAATGAAAACTATTTAATTTTAACAATTCATTGAAGGAAATTAGGTCAGTTTGTCCTCTAGTAGTCTAAGCTTAAGGCAGCATAACAAGCCAACCCTAACTATAGGATTTATCAAAAAGGAAAAGTCTTAAGCCCAGTCTTAAAACTGGACAGTGTGTCAGCCTCATGGACAGAAACTGAAAGTTGGTTCCACAAGAGAGGAGCCTGATAACTGAAAGATCTTCCTCCCATTCTGCTTATAGGAACCACGAGTAAGCCTGCACTCTGAGAGCGAAGTGCTCTGTTAGGAAAATATGGAACAATAAGATCTCGAATACACGATGGAGCTAGGTTGTTGAGGGCTTTGTAGGTTAGAAAGCAAGATTTTGAACTCAATTCTGGACTTGACAGGGAGCCAGTGGAGAGAAGCTAAAACTGGAGAGACATGATCTCTCCCACTAACTCCAGTTAAGACTTCGGCAGCTGCATTTTGGTCGCGTGTGCTGTCACTTAAAAGACGGTGTGTTAAAAGAGCAATGATACAACAATTCAGGAGCGCAGTTGAATCATCCTTCTTGGTGTAATGCGTCGTTCGATGAGCACAAGCGAGACTAAAGTGTAAGAGCGGAGAACTTTTACTAAAGCGCTGTAGTATTTCTTACACATTTCAAGATGTTTGAACTGTAAAGTTGCTATTAAGGAGAGATTGTGTGTCGGTGATGGGCAGCTTATTGGATTTCTGTGACCTGTTTTAGTTTATTTTTCACATGACCTCATCAAAATGCTTCATCAGTAAAGGTTGTTCAATCTGTCTTTGTTCCATGAAGGTCTACCCTTATGAAATGCTCAATGTTACAAACAGAGGACGAGTGAAACTCCCCAAGGATGTTGACAGAGCACGGCTTGAGGTATGGCAAAAACATTACTCCCTCAAAGTGACAAAGATTTTTAGACAACAAACGTTCATCTTGTGTTATCCAACAACTATTAGTCTCACACGTGCCGATGTAGGAGCAAATACGAGTAAAGAGAGACATGACGATGATATGTTTTGACGTCAGTGACATAAAGTGTTTCTTTCAGCATCTGTTCTCCTTTCTGTTCGCAGCGTCACCTGTCGCCCGGCTCTTTCTTCCAGATCTTTGGGATGGATATTCAAGAATTCGACAAACTTCCACTTTGGAAACGTAACGACATGAAAAAGAAATCCGATCTCTTCTGAATGCAGCCAAACATGTTGATGCTCCTGAGTAAACATGCAGTTCTGTCTTTTGAGGCGTATGGCCCATTTATTAACATTTGTCACAAAGAAGAGAATTTATTTGTGCAAGAAAAGAGTAGAACTTTCTAGATAACCGTTATTTGTTTCTTGTCTGTATTTGTAGGTTAATTAATAAATATTGGTTAAACTTATTGAAGAATTTGATGAACATGAGAACTCAACGTAGATGTTTTTCAGAGCTTATGTTCATATTGAACAATTCTTGGCAAAAAAAGGACAGAATTCATGCAAGTCATTTATTGAGACATTGCATTCTGTTGTAGCTCATATGTTGATAAATTTACCAGTAAATGTGTTTTTTCCAAGTGTTAATTGCAGCTGTCCATGTGATCTTAATGTGATAGCTCAGATCTTTTAAACTGTGTTTTTTGGAAAAAAAATATATACTGAATAAATATCCTACCTGTTGTAGATGTCTCTTTGGACAGCGTCAGTTTGGAGGAAAAGGGATTGGTTCTTACTGGATTGACGAGCTAATGGCTAGTCCAAGTGGGGTCAAAACCAAAGTGGGTTGCTTCATTGTGGAGCAGCACTATTAGCAAGAAGGTCTTGGGTTTGATTCCCTACTGCAGCCTTTCTGCATGGAGCTTGCATGTTCTTTCCGTGTGTGGGTTTTCTCCTGGTACTATGGTTTCCTGCCACACCACAAAAACGTGCATGCTAGGCTAATTGGTTAGTCTAAATTGGTGTGTGTGCATAAATGGTGTGTGTTCCTGTGGTGGACTGGTGACTGATAAAGGGTGTGCCTCAATCAATGATCCCAAAACCCTGGGTCATGAACAAATAATTATTTATTTTTCCTCCCTGAACTTTTTTCTGTTTTATCAAGATACTATAACACATAAAAACACAAATGTAAAAAAAATACATCAATAAACACCAAAATGTGTTTCATTATATCCCTGAGGAAATTCTGTTTGTTTCATGTTTTAACCAAAACCAGTTGTATTTGTAACCATTCTGCTTCACCACCACTTCTGTTGCCCCAAATAAAGCAGCTGAAAAGTTGAGTAAAGGTGTTGATTTTTATTTACAAAGTCAGTGAAGCACACATTTTAGCAAACAAACGTCACATTTTATTTATTTGTTTGGATCTGAGTGAATGTTTGACCCTGAGCTTGGACTTTTAAAACCAACAGGTGGCGCTCATGAGCCTGAAACTGCACATGAGCAGCCATTAGTAGCTGCCTTTAAAAGATGCTTATTTTTCAGAACATCAGAAAGTAGCAAGGACTGCATTGTGATGCAACCAGACCCGGCTGCAGAAACAATTCAAAGGGGGGGCATTCTATTTTTTCAAGGGGGCATATTTTTTTCAACAAACATTTTATTTGCTTCAAGTTGAACAGCGGCTCTGTGACCACCCCTAATACAGTGCTGTGAAGAAACAATCTCAATAAAATCACAAAATCTAAGCAAAAATAGAAAAAAAAAAGAACAAGACAACCCAACCTGTAGAGCTGTGTTCATTCAATTAAAAGTCAAACATAAGCATAAACATACAGTGATAAATATAAGCACAAGTTTCAGGCTGAACACTGTGACTGAAGTAAACATTCATGCTAGGAGGTTTAACTACAACAACTGGGGAGCACAAGGAGCAAAACAAAGAAGTTTTACTCTTCTGCCTGCAAGAAACACCATTTTATGTGTGAGGGAGGCGGGGTGGGGGAAACTAGAAAGGGGTTTACTCCACCTTTAGTAGAGTGGCAGGCGGCGTTTGTATAGTGTGTGAAACCTTCTCAAAACACTGTCCTTCCATTCATTCCTAAATTTCCGAGTCAAGTCCTTCTCAAATGCCAACTGGATCAGATTTGCCTTGCGTTGATGAAGCATAGTTTGGCGATGCTCTGTGAAGACATTTTTAAGAGTGGAAAACGAATTTTCACATGATGCGGTGCTGGCTCCAAACGTCAGGCCATGTTTAAAGGCTGCAAAGACAGTAGGCATTGCTTCCAATGGCTTCTGGAACTGCTTCAAAATCTGTAAGGATTAAGAATTAAGATTACTGTAAAATCAATATAATTACAATTAGAATGATTCCCCAAATAACAATATAAATTGTATGAAACATTATGTTTAACAATAAATTCTCATCTCAATTAACCAAATCATGTTAGGTTTGATGTGTGATTTTTATGACAGTTTTATGAAGGCCTGATGCTGAAAAATACCAGTTTACTTTAAAGGCCCGACATGACTATATCTCAGCTGTAATGTTACCACAGACTTCACTGTTGTTGTTATTGACGTCGTCACTCACGTTTCTTCCAACTGGCTGAGCACTGCTCGGTTCTGCTCCTTGTGCTCCCTAGCTGCTGTAGCTAACCCTCCTAGCATGAATGTTTACTCCAGAGTTGACTTCAGTGCTTACGTTTCCAACTGAAATGGATGGTGCCGCTTCCTGTCCGCTCTCATTTTTTCCACTGTCAGTGTCATTCGTTGTCCTCTTGTTTTTTTGGAAAAAAGTCCGAATATCCGTGATACACGGACAATGGTGAGCGTGACTGTTTCTGTTTGAAAACAGCTAGTTTGCGCCTTAAGTCAGTGACCCGCCCCCCTCGAACTGTAGTTGGCTAGAATGTTGCCTTGGCTTCATTGATTGGTTGAATTGTTTGACTGACAAACAGAGATAGGAAAAATAGAAAGATGTACACTCAGAGATAGATTAAAAACAAACAAACAAAAAACTTCCCGTGTCCAGTCAGGGGGGGGCACAGCTGACTCTGTGGGGGGGCAATGTCCCTCAATGCCCGCCCATGCCGCCGGGTCTGGATGCAACCCTCATTATCCTGCTGAGCTTTAATGTTTGTAATAACACTGATTAAATACATGCTGGAAACTAATCAAATCAGTGTACAAGTAAATATATTAAACGCTCTTAACACCTATAACTAAAAGATTCCAGAGGTTGGTTATAAACTCTCAGGAAAAGCAATAAAGATAAAGGCTTTGAAGTCAAATATGATGGACTAAGTGTAATAAAAACGTATGTTGACACATGAAGGAACATTCCTGTGTAGTAATATTTTTCTACACCCCCCCCCCCCCCCACACACACACACACACACACACACAAATACAAATACACACGTACACAAATCTAATCAACTCTCTAATTAGCCTGTAAAGTAATTCAATTAAAACCTGTAAATATTTATTTTGGTTTTGTTTATTTTCTCATTAAGCACTAATTTTATGGGGTTTACACTCAGTTTAAATGTTGGCAGAAATATGTAAACATTGTTCCCTTTTCTTACTTTTTTTTTTTGCTGACTTTAAACATTCATCATCACCATGTAGGAAGAAGGCGCTTATTTTTTTTTTTTTTTGCCTTAAACAAATTCCACTGCACTGAATGATAACTTATATTTGATAACATATGTGGAAAGTTGGTATTTACTTAGGTGGGCTCTTTAAAGCCCACCTCGCTTAAGCGAAAACATAGAGGCCGTGTAGGCACTTCCTATTGGACAGAGCGACTGCTTTCATAAATGTGATTGGTTGCAGTAGCTGTCACTCAAAGCGAGCGCCGCCCACTCGCTTCTCCAACTGGAACTCGGACCCAAACGGAGATTTTTACGAAAAGATCGACCGCAGGCTGCGCAGCAGGGTTGAGGACGGTGTGACGACGAACAGGACCCCCGCAGCTATGGACCCAGTGGCGTGACAGCCACGTCGATGGCGTTTCTAAACTTACTCGACGATGTTTGGCCGTAACCAAAGACGTCAGAAAGACTGTGTAGTTCCAGCTACAATGACTGCGGCTTCACTCGTTAGATAGACGGAGAGAGCGAGGGGCCGAACGGGACCCCGTCCCCTCTAGAGCACCGCTCCGTCGGATGGAGGCTGACGGGAGCCTCGCTGTAGGCCGGGAATGTCACCTGTGAAGCGCCGCAAGAGGTTTTTGAGCTTCAGAACAAAACCCGCACACATATGTTAGCTTTTTTTTGGACTTGTCTTGGCCGCTTGGAAAGCTTGTAGGTGGGAAAAGTTGGCGTATTTAGTTAGCTGCACGAGACGAGCCCCGCGCGCAGGATGACCATCACTGAGAACCTAAACAGGTAGCAGGTGAACGAGGCGGCGTGTTGTGGACTTTTCCACCGTCGAGTTTTTACTACGTGCGCCCCCGCAGATACTTCCAGGACGAATTTCTTAAATATTGGACTTTTGTCCCCCCCTCCACGTTGAGAAGTTGCGCCTGTTCCAGAGCGACCATGTCAGTCAAAGACAACGCTTGTCGTAAATTTCAAGCCAACATTTTCAACAAAAGTAAATGTCAGAACTGCTTCAAACCCAGAGAATCACATCTGCTGAACGATGAAGACTTAAATCAGGTAAACCTGGTGAAAATCACCTGTACTGTAATGATGGTGAAGTGTTAGTCATTTTGTGTGTGTGAAGGTTTCACAAATGTTTTGGTCACGTGCCATTGGACCGTTAGAGCTCAAGTTAATTGGACCTAATTGGTAAACAGCCCCAAGGGTTCATATTAACCTTAATCAATGCAGATCTGAGCTTCCACCTGTCTTCAACCTGCTTTTTTTGTTGCTACCATAAGGAATGCAAGAATTTCTATACGTTTTATTTTATTTGTTCAGTCCAGATAAACATTAGAGTTATAAACTGTAAAGCTCTGTATTCTCTCATTGTTAGTGGAGCAGAAAGTCCAGCAGAAACCAGGGTGCATCAGGGCATTTTGAACTACTGACATTTTATCTTATTACTTTTGGTTTGCTGTTTGGCTAAATGATATACACTAACAAAACGTTCCATCCATCCATTATCTTTTACCCGCTTTTTCCATTTTAGGTCATGAGGGTCACCGATGCCCATGTCCAGCAATAACTGTGCGAGGGGCGGGGTACAAAAGCGTTCCAAAAGAGAAAATTAATTCAATTAAATAGACTGTAGAGAGATTTGGTATGATGTCAAGATAATTTTCTGAGTTAGGTACTCAATGCGATCAGTGATCCCTCACTTATGGCAGGGGTTACGTTCCAGAGACTCCGCGATAGGTGAAAAACTGCAAAGTAGCCGTGTTAGATTTATATAATTATTTATATATATATTTAAGACATATGTGTCAAACTCTAGGCCCGGGAGCCAAAGGTGGCCCTTGTTGACATCTTATCTGGCTCTCAAGATGATATGTGGAACGTAAAATACTTCTATCTCTTGAATTTTCTCAGTAATCTTTGATTATGATGTTGAAGGCACAGCAGAGAACATCAAATGAGACCAATCAAACTCTTGTTGAGGAACCTGTGACCAAGAAAATATGTTGAGTATCTGATTTGAGTTCATGGCGTTTCTGAAATTGGCCCTTAGTTTGAAAAAGGATTCAATTTTGGCCCCCTTTTGTAATCGAGTTTGACACCCACAGATTTAAGGCTTTATAAACCCTTCCCACACTCTTATTAACCTTTCCCACTGTCTTATAACCACTTCAGTGTTTCTTCTACCATTATACAAGCAGGGCACCCCGAACTGTCAACAGAACCGAGCGCCCTGCCTACCGAACCAAACTGCGCTCCAAACCGACCCCCCCCACCCCATCAGCACTGACCAAGCGCTAAGCGGCATGCAATACAGGCACACTAGTTAAAATGCTAAAGGCAGTGCTTACGCTGGTCTCTACCCTCACGCCGAACCCCTCTGCTCGAAAACTCTGTACAAACGGCGCAGCTCAGATGTGCCTCCATCTCCGTGTCTCCACCCCCGGTCGACAAAAATCCCGGACGAGATGAGCGCCCCACCATGGCAAGTTATCTAGGGGAAACAATGTACTTCTTATCCTCTTAAGCACTTTAGCGATCGCGATGAAGATGATGACGATGAGATGAATGTACAGTAGTGCATTACATACAGTACACATCATTATAAAAAAAACAAGGTTTAAGAAACCCGCAATATAGTGAGGGACTACTGTTATCATGAAAAAATATACAATATTTGTGTGTTCTTAAATTTAAACTTTGTAAGCAAAATTAGTTTGTTTGCCTAAAGGAGCCAAAGTGACAAGTTAAATGTTAAACTTACCAATCTAGTGTATGTTTGGACAAAGTTGTGCATTTAAATGCTGAGCACTGTTTTTATGGCACCCCACCGCCATGCTTGATTCAATATATTTATTCCTGAAAGTTGTTTTATTTTCTTTTGCGTTTAATGTCAGATTGATTCATATTTTCCCGCTTTAATATCTTCTCTAAGACGCTCGTTCAATTCTGCTATATTTACTTACAGACAGCCTGCTGTACTTTAATCATGTGACTTATTCTTCTCAGACAGATTGAGCCAAGAGCGTTGTTTATGTTGAGTGTGGACCAGGTATGCATTCAAAAACTGGAAAACTATGGGCGTCAATTCTTTCAAACTGCATCGTTTGATATACTGCAGTTCAGAATAACATTCATGTTTAAATTCATACTGTGAAATGGGTGTTAGGGTTAGGTTTAAATAATAGAAGCCTGAAAGTTACAGCATTTTAAAAGTCCAAATTCTGGGATAATGTGAAAAGTTGTCATCTATCACAAAAATTGTCACAATTTCTACACATTTTTAGAGATTGACATACAATTTTCAGCAAATGTTCTTTGAATGTTTGGAATGTAAAAGCCTATTCATTGGTTAGAGTACTGGTATTTGTATACTTTTAATAAATAACTAAAGTACCTTTACTGACCTTATCTTGTATGTAACAGGTCTCTGTTGTCAATGAGTCCTCGAGGCTCATTGGGAACTAACCTGCATAAATAAAGGTTGAATGAATGAATCTTAAAGATTAAGTTAGGTATGCAGAAAATTATATCGTCTACAGCAGATACATTTTGTTTTTTGGATCAGTCGTAGGTTGTGGATATTTTCTTTATTTTTGCATCTTCAGGAAAATCGAGTAGCTTTTCTTGGATAATATGCCATTACCTATCTCTTAGATATGAACTTCTTTTTCCATTGATCAGTACACATTCCCATTGTTCCAACCTACTAGCCAAGATATTTTTTCTTCAAGGGGTGACGCCATGTAGGAAAATCACCAACTCAGTGATTGCAACATTGAGAGTAACATACTTACCGTACTCGTATGCTTAGGTTGGCCGTGTGCAGAAATCGTACATATTTGACTTTGCAAAGATCTTTTGTCAGTCCAGCTCAGCTCACATTGTGCTCACTGTTCTCCATGGTGATCAGTGGCTTCCCTGTTGGGATGGAAATCGTCTTTTTATTTTTCTCTGACGTGCAGGTTTTTATTCTTTTACGAGTGGATTGATATACAAATCTTCAACTTCTGGCAATGGTTGTTGTCAAAATAAGATGCCAGTGCTATTAATTAATTTTAAAGACCCACAGAACAAAGGTGGCACATTTTCTGAGCACAATTATATTTTCTTTTGCAAAAGCTCTCATTCCAGTTGCCTTCCTGTTTTTGTAAGTGCATTAACATAGCCTTTTGTGATCAAAGGCATTAAGAGGTTGGAGCCATTACAAAACGAACACAGCATGAATATACTCCAATGAATCCATTTAGCCACTGAAGGGTAAAAAATGACCTACATTGATCTCATTTCTCTGACTCGAGAGAAATTTCCTTTTGGGCTGCTGTCAGGTCATGTGAGTTGAGACACGTTTCCATACCATGCTCTCGTGTTTTCTGCAGAATCTTGCCTTCTTTGTATTTTATATGCGTGTAATCAAAGTGAAAAGGGGATTTTAAGTGGATTGTCCTCAGCCTCTCGCAGTATAAACCTTTGGCTATAACCAAAACCTATAATAAAAACAGACAGAGGTGCCAGGCAGCTGTAAATGTCAAAGCTCCGCAATCGTTTGGTTAACTACTGTTCCATAGACTGGGGAAACGCAAGTGGATTATGTAAGAGCGTTAACTTGTTGAGCTGTTTAGGAACAGAAAATGTTAATTGTTCTGTACATAGTCATGCACACACAGGATTTTTCTTTCCTGCTCAGCAAACAAGTGCTTACTGTTACTGCTGTGACTACTGTTCAGGTATGTACCAGAACCGTTTAGGAAAGCCCAAGCTGCCATGCTGCCTTTCTTTTTCTCAGTGCATGTTTGCCTTACCAATCTGTGGCCACAAAAACTCCCAAGATTTGTACTATTCCTAGTTCTCATCCACAGTTTTTCTCACTTAACTTCCTCCTCACTTGGTCCACCCACTGACAGGATCAGACAGAGAAATCATGTGTTGAGCTTTTCTTTTTTCATCCAGGGCAGCATGGTGCTCTGGAATAAAGCCAGCAGGAGATTGTAGTCCACATTCAAAGCAAGGCATCCAGTGACTAATGCTCATCCTGGGAGTGAAACTAAAACAAGTTTTGGGTTGGCGTAAAAATGTCTGTAAAATAAGCTCAGACAGCAGTGGCTGGCAATTATTGTGGCTAGTAGTAAAAGCTAGTTGCATTAACCACCTGCAGTTATAAGGGCAACAAATTAAGATGTGGCGACTTTATCAAAATGTTATTGTTACCTTTTAAAGTTGGCATTTAACCTTGTGTTTTGTTTGTTTGTTGTTTACTAGGCAAAACCTATATATGCAGGATGGCTGCTTCTCGCTCCCGAGGGAACAAACTTTGACAATCCTTTACACCGATCTCGGGTAAGTGTTTATTCTCGCGTGATCTTAAATTTGTTTAGTTTTATAGTTTTTGCTATCTTTTAAATAAAGCAATTTTAGCAGGACTTGATGAAACAAGGGGAATAAAAGCTACTGGTAAAAGTAACCTTTTTAATATTTTTTGAATCTGTCACTCATTTGGTAAACAAAGGTTGTTGTGGTTATGTGACTTCTTGCGATCAGCAGGTCCTTGTGGGAGGTTTGGACCTTTTTTTAATCAAAGGAGGCTTTTTATATAGGCAGTAATGAGCCTGATATTGATGTTGTTTTGTGAAACCCTCCCTATCATCATGTAATGGGAGACTGTCTTTATCAGCTCTCAGATTATACTGTGGTGGTGCATCCCAGAAGAGGGCTAGGGAGAATGTGGGGGAGGAGAAGGAAGGACCTGGTTCTCACAGCCACACTGATGGCTTCCATATGGGTTTTTGGGAAAAGCACCTCTTGATCTACTGTCAGCAATCTGGTGCTGCCACTTTGACATCATCCCTGAAACGTTGTGCTTGTTTTTTTACAGTCAGCTTTTCATTGCAGGGCTATAATTGGTAGCTTGTACGTAAGCAGAATAATCATGCAGACTAACCAGAAAACTAATAACAGAGTAAAAACCTGATAGCTTGAGTGACTCATGTTTTAGGACCTCATTTAACAGGTTGTTGGTCTGTGGTTGTACATTGAATACTGAGGTTGGTTTTAGTTTCTTCTTGTGACTCTCAATAGTGTCATATGTTTATGGTAAATAAACCACAGCATCACTTCAGTATCACATATGCAGCTTTCCAGCTTCAGTTAATTTTAACGGATTAGGTTTTTTGGAATAAAGCTAATTTATTTCAACGTTAGAACAAAAAATGTGAGGGTCAAGAGATGTGTTGTTATGAATGAAGATTAAAATGAGTTCCGTAAATACTGTCGGAATATTCTGTAAACAAAATGCACAGAAATACCATTTGAATCAGGAAAGAACACTTCACTGTTGATTAAAAGTATTAGCCTTTATATGTAAAGTAAGAGCTTGTTCCATCCATCCATCCATCCATCTTTACCTGTTTCTTTCTTTTTGGGTCGCGGGTGTCACTGGTGCCCATGTCCGCTGAGAGGCGACAGCTCTACCAACTGAGCCACCGTGCTGCCTTTGCAAAAACAGTAAAATGTGTTCATTTTCTCAAACTGTCAAGAACAAGAATAAAGTTTGTTTTGGCTAGGACATTTAATGCTTCAATAGAAACTCAAACTGATTACCTCCCGCCAGCATCATCACTCCTCGGTCTGAACGCGTCCTTTGATCTTTTAAATTTGTCGCGAAAGCAGCTTCTTTAATTTTATTTAATTTTATTTTTTGACAAATGCTCTCCTTGGTTCACAACATTTGGTCCCCCTCATTCCACAATTTAGTGATTTGTGTCTTTAAAAACACACCAAAAAACCTTTAAAAACATGTTTTATCAAAATTTATAGATTATAAATAAAGTTGAGTAGCCTACTTCCTGAAACTGTCATTTTTTCTTTTCGCAGCACTGAGAGAGAACAAATGTTTGGCTCTTTTGCAACGTATATAGCAGCATATAGTCATTGTTATTATCATTAGATGTGAAACTTTTTGTTGAAATTGTACAGGTGGGGAAATTATTATTATTATTGTGTTTAAGAATGCTGGTTGTTTTTGGTGTATGGTTGGGGGTGAAACTATCTGGAACTGGTTGATCTGGACCAGCTGATGTTGATAAAATGGTGTTCAACTTGCTTCAGAGTCTCATAAATTGATGGATTCAGAGAGTGAGCCAGTACAATTATGGTAATGTTTCAAAGGCTTGTTGGGCTTGTGTTTTAAATGTTTAACACTAATAGATATGAACTAATAGGTCTAAATTATTGCAATGTAACTTGATCATTTTTCAGATGTCAGTCTTATTTGGAATTGCATGTCTTGAACCTGTTAATTATTAAAGTGTTAAAATGTTCTTATTTTGCTTTATCTTTTGCAATTTTTTTTGCTGCTATGATTAATAGAAATGTGTTACAATACTGTCTTTTAAAATTGTTTTTATCTTAACAGAAATGGCAAAGAAGGTTTTTTATCCTCTATGAGCATGGACTACTCCGCTATGCCCTGGATGAAATGGTAAGTTTGTTTCTTTCAGTTTACATTGTAGTAGTTTTACTCTGAACTCTGGGCCTATTTGTTTATGCCAGGGTTTCTGTTTCTTGACTTGCATTACTACTCTAACGTGACTTTTTTTTTTCCCACCAAAGAGTTTAAGTTTTTGTTACTTTGCACTCGTCATAAGCACCAAATTAATACATTAAAATGAAACCGATCACAGAACAAACTTTGTCATGCCTCGGACTGATGGCACTCTAATTTCCTCTCAGAACCTTTAACAGATACAGTAGTCCCTCGTTTATTGCGGGGGATTTGTACCCTGAAACCCTGTGATAAGTGAAAAACCACAAAGTAGGAATAGTAGCAAGTAGTAGTCTATATATATTATATATATATATATATATATATATATATATATATATATAGGGCATTTTAAACCCTTCCCACACTATTGCAATATTCTAAACAATGTTTCTAAACTCTAAAGCTCTAAAAGAGCACAGGATGTCATGATTTCAGCTATCTGCTTCCGCTGCTCCCAGCCACCTGCAAGCGCTCTTGGCCACACCCACTTCTACGCTCTGCACAGAGATCAGCTGATCAGCTGCAGCAGGACGTTTATCCTACAATATGGGCTAAATCATTTAAAATAATTTATTTTAAATAAAAACTCCATGTCGATCATGCGGCTCTTCCATCACTCAGCCAGTTGTGTATGTCCAATCTTATTTTGAAAAACCACGATGGAGTGAGTCCACGATAAACGAACCGCAAAGTAGCAAGGGAATACTGTAATTTGGTAATGTGAACTGTAGCTATATTCCTTGTTGGAAAATGATAAACTACCAGAGACTATAGCAGAGAGCCAGATATTATGTAGATACAAGTCTCATAAGGTTTAGACCATTTAGTAAACTGGCATTTTGTAAAATACCTAAAAGTAATAAAGTTGCCCGTTGAGGTGATATGCTAAAAGCTTTTCAGTCAGAATAAGAGAGAAAATGGGCTTTGACTAGGTTATACCAGAGCTCACTGAGACACAACAGAGTATTTGGTAAATTAAGTAACATAGTGTCAAAAGAATGGAGTGACACCAAACGGTGTTCATACTAAACGTCATGTGCTGGACAGCTTGTTTGTTAGTGGCACATTGTGTTTAGTACACATTGTGCTAGAGTCCTCTGAAATGGTAAAATCACACTGTACAAGGAAACATCTTTTGCTTGATCTTTACTGGTGCAATAAATCCAGTTTAACTGCTTTAATATACTGATAATAATGTGTAAATCACTTATATCACTTGTATGTTTTTTAGAACGCCTTCTTAAAACGATGTAGTTTTCAGTTTTATGCTGAGCAGCATTTACCTTTATGAATATTGATTGACAAAAACCACTACACAACAACCTCTTTTGTTCCCTTCTGAACATGAGACCTGCTTTGAAAAGAGGTGAAAGCAGAGATTGTTGATTCAGCGCTTATCTGTGTTCACACTTTTTATGTTTGAGGTGGTATTGTCCACGATGTTGGACAAAAACAGTTTTTATGTTACGTAAGTAACAGAAACTGTGCAGTGTAGATTTTTAGGTCCTAACATTGAAGCCATTATGAAGACTCATTATATGTCACTTTTTCATTGTTGTTTTGTATCATTATTGCATAGACATATTAATAATTAAAAATTGCATGTCTGGTTTACCAGAGGAGGGAAGTTCTTTGTTAACCAGTCACTTATTTATGCTAAATATAGAACGAAGTGCTATTCAGGCCTCAGAATCCTTGTTCTGTATCCATTTGTTGTCTGGGAGGCATGTTGATATGGGAAGAAAGATGGTTGTTGTGTTTACAGAAGAGGACAAAAAGGATAAATAAAGGAGAGATGTGCTTTCATTCATCGTTCTCTCTGGATGTCACTCTTCATCTTTTCATCTTTCTGAATAGAGGATCAAAAGAAAATGGGTTAGTAAGGGTCTCTAGCTGGACATATCAAGTGACTCAATATAGAGCCTTGCTTGTTGCACTAGTCCTGTTGGAATAATTGGTCTTGAATGAACACCTGCACAAACTTTGCTCATATTTTATTTTTTAATATTGATCTTAAATAAGCATATTATATCCAGTTGAACTGTCCATTGCAGAATACTTAAAGTAGCCACATGTTAATGTCCGTAGTTAAAAGCTGTTTTATGAGTAACACATAACACGTTCTAAATTCTGTCAGAAATAAATATAAAACATTGTTTTTAATATAACCTTCCTCCAGACCACATCAGAACCCCCACCTTGGAGGACTGGTTAGGGTTGTGGATAAGGAGGTGCCCCTCCAGTTCCCTCTCAGCCTGGTTTTATGGCTGCTCTGTTTTGGTGTAACCAAACCCAGATGGGCTGTGGTTCCAAGCTGCAGGATGTGGCGTGGCCATGGGAGCAGTTGAATGGGTTAGAAAACCCCGAGAGTCATTGATTTCTGGGCTGTCAACGTACAGTAAAAATACCCAACAAGACACTCCACTGCCATCACTTTGTGCAACAGCTCATTATTTAAACAGCTGTACAGAGAGGCCATGTGTGCAAGACATGTGGTGTAAAAATATATTGCTGCAGATGATGCTTTTTCTCACTGACTGGAATGATAAAATAGTTATATGTTGACTTGCGTAGAAGCTGTATTGGGTTGGTGGATGAAAACATTTGTTTTTGTCTAAGTTTCTTGACTGGATATAAACATTGTGTCATGTAATCTTTAGGAAATGTAGGGATGAGATATTTCCTCACACCATTGGTTTAGTCACTAGTCTGAGTTAGACTTTCCAAAAGCTGCCTACTAGCACAGTTATGTCAGCCCACGTTGCCATGGCAGCATGCTTTGTCTCTTTGTTCGACAACGGTTGACCATGGTATGTGTAACATGGGGCAGATTGCAAAGAGCTCGAGCAGTCTCTGTCCTGACTGCAGCAACGCAGGACAAAACACAAATGTGTGGGCTACAGTTTGCTCGACTCAAATCATTTGTTGAGCAAGACTGTCGCTGAGACATAAACATCAGGAACGGCATCATAACAAATGTGCAGAGCATTATTAGACCGTCACAGTGTAGTTAAAACTGTTTCTAGATGTGTGGGTTTGTGTTGGGCAGAGGGTCCTTGACAGTAACATGTGCGGTAAGGTGTTCTACTTGTCTGAAGAGCTCAGTTAACTCTGTTTAAAAACATGCCCTGATGATTATAAATAGTAAACTATAGACTAAAGGTCAGTAAAAATGACAAATCACACGTGTTTGATGTTAGTCATTGAAGTAAATCTGAAACACACTCGCTGTATTATCACCTCGTAGTGAGAACAGAAATGTAGGCGAGAAGGACTCTCCCAAGATGGCACTTTGCTGACATCAGTGTGTTTAAAAAGATCAACACAAACACTGTAATAACAGCTTCACCACACAGTCTTAAACACCCCAACAACACTTGGTTCCCACTGACCAACTTCTGACCTAGTTTAACCTATTCTCACTGACACAGGATCTCCAGCATGTGATGTACATTTGATTTCTTGCTATGTTTTAATCGCTGATGTGGTTATGTTTGTCCTGATTACGCCTAATTACAGTGCTCTTTTCTTTATTTTGAGGCTTTTGTGAGAATTGTGTGTGCTCGTTCTGGTCAGTTAATGTATTTTAGCTCAGACTGAACAAGCAAAGTATACCTTGCAAATAAAATGAGGCCACCTATTAAGTTGCACTACACAAAAGGCCCATTCAGGGACACTTTCATTGCATTTGCCTTTAGACTAGATTGACTGCAGTTGAAAGTTTGTATCTCTGCTTCTGCCTCGTACCTTTTTATTCCAAACAGAACATGATGTTCTCATGACATTTCATTTGCTGAAGTCATTCTCATTTCATCTTGGCTCAATTAATTTCCTGTGTTTACTGGAATTCAAATAGTGAACCTCTGCCCCATAGCAGTGTTTAAAAGCTGAGAGCATTTTGACAAACTTCCTTCGATATTCCACACATTTGTGCATTCTTTTTGCTTGAGACACACAATCCTGCTGCCTCTTTTTAACCTCTTGGGCAAAACGTTCACTAACACTCCACATTTTCTATTACCATTGAGCTAAATCTAAAATTTAGGTCTACTTCTTGCCAGCTCGTCAGAGCTTTTGTCCTGTGTCAGTTTGGAGATGAGGAGAGCTTGGCGTTGTAGAGCGTGGGCAGGTTCTTGGACCTGTGTTGTTGCCTCCAGGCCTTCTGGGCAGGAAAGAAGCAGAGGCAAACTCATCCCTCTAACAATTTAAGGATCATTTTGAACTTGCTTTTAACGTTTGATGCAAGCAATGATAAGCTACCTTTTAAGTGCTACTTTTTTAGTATTAGTTGTACAAAATAGGTTAAACCGAGAAGCCATTTTTTTAAACTAAAACATAAATGTGGGAGTAGTCATTTTTTTAATATTGTGAGAAACTTCTGATCAAATTTGGGTCACTGAAGACTGTTTACAGAGAGTGGGTGCTATGAGGCTTGTGTTGGTTTTTGAACTGATATAGTGTGGGAGAGTCTTCTTTAACCTCTGGCCCTACTTTCCTATCGTTTCTGTAGGAACAGACCTACTGGAATGTAAATAGTCATAGCTTTTACTAAAGTCATTTAATAAGCTGTCAAACCATTGCAACTACTATTTAATGGACTATTACTACTTGGATGAATAATAATACAAAAAACATGTTGACCACAGTTCGAAACTTGGAAGTGTAGCAGAGGAAGACATGGCTGAAAACACAGATCGTCGTTTCATTTTTCATATTCTAAATGCATTTAATTTCATGACGGAGATCATCTTGAATTCATTTAAGTGATATTCTAGTTTGTTGAAGTGAGGATGTGTGGAGTACGTTTGAGTTGTCAGTATCTTCACTGTCATAAAGAGCTGTCAAAGTGATGCGTCCTGTGCTCAAACAACAAATTGTTAATGCAATAGCTTTCTAGGTTAACGCTGCCAAATTAATTTTGTCATCTTTTTAGC